GCGGACCGGACGGTCCCGCCGGGCGGGACCCTGGTGCCGTAGCAGGGACATAGGCAGCACCGGTAGGGACCATGGCCAGCTCCCTAGCCGCGGCGCTGACGTCCACCCGCGGCGGACTGTCGCCTCCAGCGCCCGAGGCCTCAGGGACTAGCTCGGAGTCCTCTTCTTCTTCCTCTTCATCCTCGTCCTCCTCTTCGGCGTCATGGAGGAACTTCATGACTTTCCGCCAGAGAGCCGCCTCTTGCTCTGGCGTAGTGCTGACCCCATCCCGCTTGGACAATGGACGGCTGCCAGTCTCCCTACGCCACTTAAGCCAAGCGACGTAGCTCATCCGCTCGGGATAGGGAACGTCTCCACCCTCGATAGCTTCGAGGAGGGTGACGCCCTCAGCCTGACCTGCAACCTCTGCGGACATTGCCGCAACACAAGGCGAAAAGCCGCGCCTTGGTTAGCAGGCCGCAGGCGTGGCACGCGAAGCGCCGCGCCTTGGTTAACAGGCCGCAAGCGTGGCACACAGTCCACGCGTCCAGGTCACGGACCGCGACAGACAAGCAAAGCAATGCTTGCCCACTCGGGCCGTAGGCACAAGAGCTGTACGTTTCCCAGAACAGCCCCCAATTGTGAAGTCGACCAGCACTGGACTTGCACTAAGCCAATGCAATCACAGCCCGGTCACGCTGTTTTACGACTTCGTGAGTCCAAGCACTTGTGCAGCTACGCCTGAGTGCGTCCGGTCGGACCGCACAGCAACCTAGGAGCTACTGTACGACTCTACCGTGCTCAAAGGCACAAGCTCGGTACTTGAGCCAAAATATTGGCATTGATACGAATTGCAAATCTACACATGCAAAGGAAAACTACAGTACTGGTTCTGGCAGCTCTGCACATGGAACGTGCGTGCTTAGACCTGCTCACACAAGCCACACACACACATATGCATATACATATATGCCCTTACATATACGCATATGTATATATGTATATATATATATAGAGGGTCACCACCCCAAGACTCTTCCTCTCTCTCTCTCTATACACACACACATATATAAATATATATATGATAGAGTCACCACCCCAAGACCTACCTCCGATGCCTACACATATACATACATATATATATATATATATATGTGTGTGTGTGTGTGTGTGTGTGTGTGTGTGTGTGTGTGTGTGTGTGTGTGTGTGTGTGTGTGTGTGTCTCCTTCTTGCTGTAAATGAGACCGACTCTCGGAAGCACCGCAAGTATCGTTGCTTTCTCTCTCTCTCTCTCCCTCGCCCTCCCTGCCTCCCCTCCCCTTGCTTCCTCCCTCTTCTCTCTCTCTCCATCTCTCTCTCTCTCTCTCTCTCTCTCTCTCTCTCTCTCTCTCTCTCTCTCTCCAGAAAGAGGACTCAAGCCTCAGCTCAGGACCCTGGGGGTTGCTTGCGCATGCGTCCTAAAGTGTGCCAAAGCACGTCTGATGCATGAAACTTGACGGGAGGTCCCCGCACTCACATGACGGAGACAGACCTGGTGTCCCTCTGCTACGACCTGCGGCTTGTTCCCGACCTGGCGTCTCAAATGCACTATTTGTATGCTTAGAAAATGTTGTTGTAGTATACGTTCTTATATACTACGTTTTATTATCTGATTTACATGTGCAGCCAAGTTCCGTGAGATTCGTATGTGGGGGGGGGGGGGGGCGGCCTTTCGGCTGTGTTGCGCAAGGGAATAGACAGGCTCCAATGTTGCCCCAAAACGAAGGACCAAACCCCCCCGAAGTCCCAGGTCTCTCGACATGAGGTCCAGCGTGCGTACAGCCTGGCCGTGTGCAAGGCTGGGCTTGACTGCTTCGTTTAGGGTTCAGGGTTTAGGGTTTAGGGTTTAGGGTTTAGGGTTTAGGGTTTAGGGTACGCCCTAACCCCCAAAACAGCCTTTGCCGGAACTCCTGCGGTGCGAGAGGAGAGGCTCTTGCCTGAAGAGCTGCCTTCTGCAGCGACTCCTGCGACTTCTGCGACTTCGGCGCCCTGTCCTGGATGGTCGAGGATACATGCCATCCAGCTTCTCAATCCTAAGCTGCGCCAAGCTCGAGACCGCTTGTGGATATTTTAGTTTGCTGTTATTGTAGGCAGGCGCCCATCAACGCAGGATTTCTAGGCGAGCAGTCAGTGTAAGGCCTTGAACCCTCCACCCTGAAACGCTAACCCCACCGGAACTTAGGAGAACTTGATCCCTCCGACGTCCTCGGCGTCGCGCACCCCAGGCCGCGCATGCACACAACTCCGGCACTGTGTGCAAAGCTTGCAGTTGGCCTTCACAAGACCCCCAGAACTCTTTGCCCCAGAACCCTCAGAGCCCGTAGAGTCCGGAAAAGCCTTCGCAGTAGCCTCAAAAACTGTGTGTCAGCTTTGCACTTGCCAAAAAAAGCGTTGAGGCAGGTCACGGTCCGGTTCCTGGAGCTCGAAGCACACGCTGGACGCCCGGCTTGAACAACTTAGGCCCCTTGCCTTTGCTTGTATGGTAGAGCAGTCTTGAGGGGACAAATTGAGAGTGTCGCCACCGTTGCAACAGACGCGGCCAAACGCGAAAGCCAAGAGCAAGCCCAAACAACAACCGACGAAGACAGCCCTGGGCACTTGGACGTGAGTCTTGAGGAGCACATAACATGATGATGTATACTGCCCTCAAATGCTGGTTGAGGGAAAGTGCTCTGATCGGAGCAGAGAATACAACTCTCGCATCTACCTCGGGTCATGATGGCTGGGTGCAGGCAACTTGAGGTAGTTTTCTCCCACTCGCAGATCTGAGCAGGAACCTCGCCCGCTTCTGCCAGTGTGAGACTCGAAGCCCTAAACCCCAGACCCAAAAACCACACCCCACACCCTACACCCCACACCCTACACCCTAAACCCTAAACCCTGCAGTGCGGGTGGCGAAACCCTAGACCCCTAAACCCCTAAACCTCTAGACCCCTGAACCCCTGAACCCCTAAACCCCTAAACCCCTAAACCCCTAAACCCCTAAACCCCTAAACCCCTAAACCCTTTGACAGCTGGAAAGAAGCTCGGAGAACCGGAGGACCCTAAACCCTAAACCCTAAACCCCGAACCCTAAACCCTAAACCCTAAACCCTAAACCCTAAACCCTAAACCCTACATCGGAGGACGGCGGCCCGGAGTCCAGCGGTTCTCTGCGTCTGCCAAAGCCCAAGGCCTTCTTGGGGGCTTAGGGTTTGGGGTTTAGGGTTTGGGGTTTGGGGTTTAGGGTTTGGGGTTTTTAGGGTTTTTGGGGTTTGGGGTTTGGGGTTTAGGGTTTGGGGTTTGAGGTTTGGGGTTTAGGGTTTGGGGTTTGGGGTTTAGGGTTTGGGGGCTTAGGGTTTGGGGTTCGGGGTTTGGGGTTTAGGGTTTGTTTAGGGTTTGTGGTTTAGGGTTTGTTTAGGGTTCAGGGTTTGGGGTTTAGGGTTTGGGTTTAGGGTTTAGGGTTTGGGGTTTGTTTAGGGTTTAGGGTTTTGGGTTTGGGGTATAGGGTTTAGGGGCTTGAGTGTGCTCGGGGTGTTAGCTGGACTTGCTTGAAGTTCAGGTGTTGAGGGGTGACAGAGACGGCTGACGTCAAGAGTCTGGGTCCAAAAAGGATTTAGGCGGTGGGTCCGCTGGCAAAAAGAGTTTAGGACGTTTGGATTGCAGAGGCGGGGGCAGGGATGTAAGCTCCAGGATGAGTTCCCCTAAACCCTAAACCCTAAACCCTAAACCCTAAAGCCTAAAGCCCTTTCGAGGCCCTCCTTTGAAGGGTTCTGGTTCCAACCCAAGCCCACGCTCGTGCCGAGAAAGGCGAAGCGCAAGAATTCGGCTCGCGTGTCTTCCAAAACGACGCAGCTCGATTCTGAAGCTTCAGGTATATGGGAGTTTACGAGAGTAAGGGACCCCCAAAACAGACCCCCGAACAGTAGGATTCCCTTCTCATAAGGGCCCCCTTTAAGGTACCCCTAATGTCGGAAGCCCCCATATACCCTCAACGCGTATCGGGGGAGTCTGAGAGGGGTCTAAGTCCAAGTCCCAAAGCACTGTTGCCTTGGTGCCCTTGAGTTGATTGACAGCCTTGGGGCTGTGCAGTTGGGCGGCTTTGCAGGCCGGCCCTCCACTTAGGGTTCAGGGTTTAGGTTTAGGGTTTAGGGTTTACGGTTTAGGGTCGGGGCGTTTTTGTCAGTTTCGGGATTCAGGGTCAAGAGCATTCCCAACAACCTGTGAGAGGCCTGGGTGTCAAGAACAGTAGCATACAGTAGCGCTTTTTTGTTCGTCGGCTTCGGCAAGAACACCCCTTACACACTAAGCCTAAGGTGAGGATTGTTGAGGCTTCCAGCCTGGAACATCTGAAAAATCAACCCAATGTGGGCCCCTCCTCTGCGAATGCAAAAAGACTGGCTGCTGCTCGAAAAGGAGCAGAGCAGGGTCCAAGGCTCCGGCTTGTTTAGGAGTTGCAGGCTTCTTCTTGGGAGGTTTAGGGTTGCTGTAAGGATGGGGTTTGGCTTCGTGAATCCATGGGGTTTCTTGCCTGACATGCACAGTTGAGTTCTGAGGACTTGTGCATATCTGGGGTCTTAGGGGGTTGTTTGGCTTCGGACTCGCACGGCAAAAGGGTCTAGGGTTTGGGCGGTTGTCAGAGATCGTTGGGGTTTAAGGGGTTTGAGAGTATGCGGCGGTGCCGGATGTTATGGGTCAAGACCCGCGTGTGTTCAGTCCGCGCCGACTTCCTCCGGGAGATTTCAATAACGGCGACGCGTCCCACCAAGCGACTGCGTGGAAGCTGCGAGACTGACAGGTTTCAGCAACGAACAGAGAGGAACTCGAAATGTTGAACTCTTCTTTCTTCGTATGCGCAGCCCTCCCCCTGGACAGGGCCCTGCTTGAGGCAGACCACACGAAGTAGACGTCTGGAAAGCGTGTTATGATTATTCAGGACCTCGACTAAGGCGGTCATTGTACACCTTAGCGCGTGAGGCTGCCCTTAAATAGCATTTGCGCTCATGAACATAGAAGCCGCGAAATTTGCGGAAGAGCTGTGGACAGCGCATGAACTTACATCAGGAAGCATGTCTTTGTGTTCTTTCGCGCTTCTCCAAAGTTTTTGTGCCTTTGCTGGTCTTGTAATTTGGCAACTAGCCTACCAATGGAACATCCCGCGGACTGTTGGTTATTCCAGCTGCTGTTTCAAATGGGACGTGCTTGCAGCAATCTCGCAGACAGCCAAGACGGTCATGTTCCCCAAGCCTCCCGAGCCCTGCTTGGAATCCTGAAATCCGCATCTTCATGCCGAGCCTACTGTGCCGTCCCAAATGTCAATGCACTCGAACCTAAGGATTGCAATGATTGAAACTGAAGGCCTTGTGCCACTCAAGTGCCGTGGATGCCAGCAGAATGGGGGGTTGGGAGTTCGGGGTTTGGGGTGTGGCTTGAGGCGTTTACAGTGAAGGGTGAATCTTCTGGGTACCAGGCGTCATGAAGGCAACCCATGATGAGATACCAATGGAATTGTCGTCATGGAAGGGCTGTCATCCAGTCCGTTTCTTCAAAGGACAGCGATTTCAATGTGAAACTTTATCTTCCTTTCAAGTACATGAGTATTTTCCAAGATCGGGACCCCGTAACCCAAATCCCGAATCTTTGCTGCCTGCCACGCCGAGAGATGTCAGCCAGGCATGTGGCACAAGAAGCCCTAATTAAAACCTGAACCCTAAATTTTACCCTAAATCCAAAATTGTTTCAGCAAACGCTCGCCCTGAAATCCACACCCTAAACCCCAAACCCTAAACCTAAAGTGTTTCATCCTTAGTTTACAAGCCCCTTCACCGGGGATTCCTCATTTTACGAAAGCGCCTCAAATCTTCGAGGCCGGGTGAGGATCCCCAGAGCGCCAAAGGCGACCAGGGAAATGGGTTTAGGGCTTGGGGTTTAGGGTTAGGGTTCAGGGTTTAGGGTTCAGGGTTCAGGGTTCAGGGTTCAGGGTTTAGGGTTTAGGGTTTAGGGTTTAGGGTTTAGGGTTTAGGGTTTAGGGTTTAGGGTTTAGGGTTTAGGGTTTAGGGTTTAGGGCGAGATTTTGCTGGGGCCGCATCCGTCGGGCGGCCCGACATCCGAGCCCAATAGCGCCCAACCCAAAATCGCCCACAAGCCCTTTCCTGCGCCCCTGCAGGAAGAGAAATCTTCGGCCTGCCTGCTTTTGCAGAAGCCCTGTGTCGTCTCATTTTTGGTCGTCTGCTGATCTATGGGAACAGCCTCCTGGCAGAAAGGATTCTAGGACGGTGGTGCTTGCAGGGCGGCGTGTCCCCAGTTTCGGGGCTGCCCGAAACCCCAGAAGTGTGGACCTGGGGACAGTTGCATTGCCTGGCTTGTGCAAGCGTGAGCGATGAAACCCTGTACATTTTCCTGGGCTTCGGGTGTGGCTCAAAACGTTTCTGTTTCCGAAAGCCTGAGTTGATCAAGGCCTGCAGCAGCTGCTCGCGCCCCACGCCAAAGTGAGCTGTGGCTGCAAGTGAGTGCAGATTCGGGGTTTTCAGGTGCTTGGGCGCCTGCAGGTCCCTAAAACTCTTAAATTAGGTTGCGAAGGCCGATTTTTTTCTAGCGGTCTCCGAGTTTGGCAATTGGGGCTGGAAGGGCAGATCAGATGCATACTTACAGCTTGAGAACTCTTGCATGCTTGTACTCCGACACAACCTCCGATCGAAGCCTTAGTCAGAAAACCCTTGGGTCTTGGGGATCTCCCACCTTCCTGTAAATCAAATCCGAGGCCCATGTCGGTTACTTGGTACTTAAGCCCCCACCCTTTGCTGTGAATTTCGGCTGTTTGATTGAAAGGCCCGCAGCAAAAATGAGTAGCAAATTTTGGGAGCAGGTGAGTCAGACGCCCCTTGAAGGGCTGGAGTGCGCAAGTTGCCCACTTGTGCAGTACAGTGCCCGGTGTGACAGTGAGAGGGGGTGCACAATGAATAGATTTACCAGTGAAATATGCAAGAGGGACGCAGGAGGCAAATGATGAACTATTCTGTGAGACTGGCGCACAGTGCTTGAATCTGCATCAAGAAAGTCGGATGGCAACACGTGCATAGATCACAAAGGGGACAAGCTATGCACCTCCCCGCACAAAACAAACAATACACACACACACACAGAAATATCTATATTTGTAGGAACAGTCTGAACATGAAGACCCATAACGCAAGACGAGGAACGACTCATCAGGCAATGGGAGGCAGGAGGAAAACGGAGCCACGGATCAAGGAACCCGGAGAGAAGCCAATCCTGTCCAGTCCTCATGACGCGACGAAAGATCGATGTGATTGCATCATAGGTAAATGATGAGAATCTCCCGGAACTAACGACAATCTTCAAGTGATGGCACAAGCACGATGGCCTGGAATCTGCGTGCGTGATTTTGATTTCCAGCTAGTGCTAATGGCTGGACCATTTTTCTGCTTCAGTCAGATTTAACCAGCCTTTGGCTGGCTTGGAATGATCAAAATCCTCGGAAGCTTTCCACAGGATCTGGCTCCTCAACTACGTTTGTGGAGTTCTGCGCCTCGGCCACCGACTTGGTCCGAAAACCCTGAGAGCCCCGTGTCCCTGAAGAATGAGGGTCGGAATAATTGGTAATAGTATCCCCTTATGGTCCCTATGTACATATTATAAGCATACTTTGTGCTCTTGCCCCTCCGCCCCCCCCCCCAAAGAACAAAAACAAAAGCAAACAACAAAAAGCAAAAACAGACCTGTTCTACTCGTAGTGGTCAAGGCCCCCCTCTATTCTGTCCATCAAGGACTCCAAACCAACGCCTCCCCTAAGACCATCGCACGGGACTCAGGGTTCAGAGCCCATGCTACTTGTACCCGAACACTCGAGGTTCAGGGTTTAGGGTTTAGGGTTTAGGGTTTAGGGCTAGGGTTTAGGGTTTGAGCTCCCAGAGCTTTCAATTTTCTGGGAGCATCCCAAGGTCCCCAAGATCCGTCACACAAAAACCCCCCCAAACCCTAAACCCTCAACCCTCAACCCTAAACCCTAAACCCTAAACCCCAAACCCTAAACCCTAAACCCTTAACCCTAAACCCTTAACCCTTAACCCTTAAACCCTAACCCTTAACCCTTAAACCCTAAACCCTAAACCAGACCAACCACTTAGCCCCGCTGTGCCGTGGCTAGTCGGGTGCTAAAACCCAAAACCCTAAACCCTAAACAAGAGGCAGTACGACCGTTCGGCCACGGTGGACCCGCAGCGGAATCCTCGCGCGGAATGGCGCGGCACGTGCCGGGCTTGGGGGTGAGAGAAGGCTGAGGGACACTGAGGCCATCAGCGGCTTTGCTTTTCAGAGCTGTTGGATGGTCTTCTTTGGGATTCCGATTTTTAGGGGAATGGACTTCGGTTTACTTGAGATGCTCTGCACTGTGATGCGGCTCGTTGCGGGAGACACGTCAGGTTTTCTTGAGGTCGTGGTTGCAAACGGATGTCGTGGGACCGTCTCCCTAAATTTTGCTTCGGCTCTGCCCCCCTCCTCTCCCCGCTCAGGCACGATCATATGAAGGGTGTCCCATGAAGGTTAAGGGTTGAGGGTTTAGGGTTCTTGGGCATATTTGTTCTTTCGACAGTGCGCCCCTGGGAATGGCCCGTAAGATGATTTCCCTTGTTCAGCTTTCAGACTGAGCATTTGCCCCTTGAGCCACGCGCTCGACCAGGCGCGCTTGGACAAGCCCTAAACCCCAAACCCCAAAGCCCAAAGCCCAAAGCCCAAAGCCCAAAGCCCAAAGCCCAAAGCCCAAACCCCAAACCCCAAACCCTAAACCCTAAACCCTAAACCCTAACTGGGCAAAAAAGGTTCTTGGGTTACAAAGGGGGTGACTTCTTTAGGAATCTCGACTCGCACCCGAGGTGCTGGCAGAAGCTCCTCGAGGCGGTGCAAGGCGAGGAGGCCGTCCCAAGCTTCGGAGTCAGCTGGATCAGGGTTTAGGGTTTAGGGTTTAGGGTTTAGGGTTTAGGGTTGAGGCTTCGGCTTTTGGACTTCGAGCTGGCCAGGCCTTGCAGCGCTACTACTCGTGTTAATTCGTCCTACCCGGTGGGCTTGGTGCTTAGGGTGTGTTTTGCTGGTGTAGTGCAGATCCCTCCCTGGCGCGTCTGAGTTGCGTGCGGTTGTTTTTCCCTAAACCCTCTTTCTTTCCATCCGGCTTGTGCAATCGCCCTGAACCCGTTTTCGTCCGGTCTTGAGTAGTCGGCCCGGGAAAGGACCCTCAACGCATGGCTCACGAGCAGAGTAGCAGTACTGCGCAAAACAGTTTCAGCTGTGAGTGGTATGTTGAACTCTTCAATGGGGAGATGATGCAAAGACGGAATCATTGGCACAAGGGCGTCGTAGATTTCGGCCTCCACTGCCAAACCCTTTGTTGCATCTGGACTAGCCCTAAACCCTATCGCTGAGACTTGGGACCACGTGAGCCTCGCCTGGCTTGTCCGAGTGTGAGCGATCCAACCCTAACCCTGCATGAACTTACCGAATCCTGACCGAATCCTTGCCTGCTGCGTTAGGGGGGGGTGGGGCACCCTTGGGTTTTGGGGTCCCTTCTTGGATTTAAGTAAGGAACATAAGGGCCATATTAGGAGCACATTAAAGGGAAGGGGCAACCTTGGGGGTGCGAGAGTCTTCATCCCCTGATCGACTCCTCTCCTCCTCTACGCTTATCGGCCTGAAAATCTTCACAAGCTCGCGCCAGGAGTTCACGTGTACCGTGCCTCCGGAGCTGCAAGATTTCTCCAAAAGCATCGAGCCTTGCTTGTCCCAGTAGTCACTTAAGGTCCCTTTGCGTGTTTCTTGTCGCAGCTTTAAGGGTGTTTGAGGCTGTCGTTTTGGCTTCGGATTTCAGGGAATTTGGGGAAAGCGAAGGACGTCTTCCCCGGAGTGTACATATGCTGTGTGTCCTTTGAAATGAGTCTTGAACTGTTGTCGGGGAGGGTTTCGGGGCTTCATGATATTTAGGGATCGAGACTTCCTTGCTTTGGCTCAGCTTGTTGTAGCGTGCGTTGTTGTTCTCGGAAGTCTTGAAGCCTCCAAGACCACGAGAATTTGGAGCGCGCTGCAGCTTTGATTTGTAACCGAGGCTCTCACACCTTGAGACCCAACCCGGGTTTCTGGTTTAACTGTGTGACTGCAGTGAGTCATATGAACACAGAGAACACCCCGAAATCCCTGTTAAATTACATGTAGCGGGCGTCTTTCCCCCAGAGTCGTTCTTGTAGAATTCAATCTCTTTTTCATCCAGGAAGAAATTGCGGGCAAGTTCAAGCGCGCCGTAATGATGTTAATATTGGCTTTAGAAAGAGTGAAGACAGAGTGAATCAAGTGAACAAAAGAGGGCAGTGAATGCGTGAACTTTGATGAGCGAGAGAACGCCGTGAATTAGTACGCGACCATGAAAGAAATGAGTGAGCGCGCAGATGTGCTTGGTTCTCACACCTTAATTAGTTGTATTACGTACTACTAGCTCACGAATGCACCGAGCATAAGTGCGCAATAGTGAAGTAGTGTGAAACACAATGCCGTGTCCATTTCTCTTTTAGTTTTTCTACCGCGTGTGAATGGCAAACGAATCGTGCGGGAAATTCACTGAGCACGGAAAACTTTGAAAGGCGTAAAGTACGCGTGAGCAAAATTAACACCACAAAGCCCCTATTCAATTCACAGGAAGACACAACGGCCCAAAAGCGTTGTATGTTCATGTTAGTGTAATGGGGGCCCCCTCCTGAAAACATTCCTAGCCACGGCTTCGCCGGGCCCACGCCGGACAGGGGGTGAGTTCAAGGGCTCTAATATGATGTAAATGTGGCATAGAAATAATATCAGATTATCATCATACACAAATATAGTAAGATGAAAATACAAGAAGAGAAAGAAGTACTTATCTAGTGACATAGTACTGCATTCTTATTTCAGAATACAGCAACCGCGCATCATGATGATAAAACTCTCACGCCAACTTTTTTTTTGGCCCCTGGCCGAGGAGCTCACGGACGATGGCACTGCCAGCCGAAGCCGCGGCTCAGGGGCCTACAGGGGCTTGAAGTGGGGGCCTCACTGTCATGGAACCCTAAACCCTAAACCCTAAACCCTAAACCCTAAACCCTAAACCCTAAACCCTAAACCTGGGAGGCATCGTTTTGCTGCAGACCAGAAAGCCTCGAGTTTCAGGGACTTGCCTTCGCTGCGACATACTTTTCGTTTTCGCCTCCACTGGGCCTCGCCCCCCTTTTTGTTAAAGGCTGAAGCCCGGAAGCCCTCAGCCGTGTCGGTGTGCGAGTTAGGGCTGATGTTGTGGCCCAGCTCTCCTTTGCCCAGTTTAGGCTGCGATCGATCATTTTGGGCACGGCTAGAAAGGCACCTGTCAGCTCTCCATGCACCGAACACAAAGACAGTTCTGCTCGGAGATGTGCGATTTAGCCTCCAGAAGCAAAAATATCTGCAACAAGAACCCCAAAACCTTGTGCAGTTCTAGGGGGCCAGGTTTAGGACGCAAAAGGATCTGCCACGGAGAGACGTTCACACTGTCACCCTGCGAGAGGAGAGGTGTCACCGCTGTCTCCATGGTGTCACGAGAAGCACCATCCACACCGGACGTCGAGACTGATGAGGCGCCAGCTACCCAGTAAACGTGAAGTACATACGTGCACACATACATACACACACATATAGACACGTGTGTAAGAAGTATCTAGCTATAAATCACAAACACAAATATGAGAAAATAGTTCCTGTAGGACTGTAGGATTTGGAGCTGGGGGTCGCGTGGTTCTTCGCGGTCATCACACCCTCACGCCTTGGTAAGGTTCTCTTGGGTTTTGAGCCTGACCCTAAACCCTAAACCCTAAACCCCAAACCCTAAACCCTAAACCCGAAACCCGAAACCCGAAACCCGAAACCCTAAACCCTAAACCCCCCACCAAATCCGAAGCTCCACCCCCACCTAAAGATTTCCGGAGGAGGCCGAGGCCGCCGCAACCAGCGACGTCGGGGCAACGCCCAAGGCTCCTACCCCAAACCCTGAAAGACAGGGTTTAGGGTTTAGGGTTTAGGGTTAAGGTTTAGGGTTCAGGGTTCAGGGTTTCGGGTTTAGGGTCTAAGGTTCGGGAATCAGGCTCTTGGTCTCACAATAATCTTGGCTTAGGGGAGTTTCAGAGAGCGGCTCGAGAATCCACCAAGGTTTCTGGTCAGCAAACTTACTAAACCCTACACCCTACACCCTATACCCTATTTACCCTAAACCCTAGGCCCTAAACCCTAAACCCTAAACCCTAAACCCCAAACCCTAACCCCCCCTATGCCGGAAACAGGTGAAGCTGCCCCCAGTGTTCGAAGACGCATCGGGGACTGAGAGATGGCTCCTGGCGCGTCTGCTGCGCAGCTCCGTGGATTTGAGCTACAACTACAAGACGCCCGTCCTCTCGCTTCGGCATCTAAAGAGGTTTCATAGTGGGGGTTCAAGCAGGGAGAGGGTGTGAGTTTGTTTCTTTGTTTGTTTGAAGGGGTTGCTTCTTGTGGAAGAGGTCCAGCGGTGATTGTTGGGTTCTTAGCTTGGGGATGTTGGCTGCAAGGAGGTTGCGAACCTCTTTGAGTTCCAGAAGTTGGGATGTTCACCCTTTTACTAGCAGTCCTTTCTCGGCATGATAGTGGCCCCGATTATAATCCCTACTCAGGACTGTTAATATACGGGGAACATCCCAGTCCTTATTATGCAAGATATGAAGAAGAGGGCGTTGGAGCTCCAGGTGTGTCAGGGCTTCGGTAATCAGGAGCACGCAGCACTGCCTCAATCCTACTGTACATTGGGGATATGAAGGCTTTGAGGATCTAGGGCCGATCCTCGAAAAGCTTCTTGGGTCGGTCTTGGCGCATTTAGACTTTCCAGGGTCGTGGGAGTAACGCCGAGCAGTTTTCCCTGCTGGGTGCTTTCGTCAGCATGTTGTCTTGCCCTTGCTGATATGGAGCTGGTTCCAAGGAAGCGGGAGAAGAAGGCGTCCAAGAGGGGCAGCAAGATCTGATGCCTGCCCGCCACTCATGAGAGCTTGATTTCATAGTCGGGCTGGACAAGGTTCTCGATGATACCCCGGGTGCAATGCTAAGACATCAGGCGACAGGGTGCTGCTATGCTCCAGTGCTACGCCAGAGGTGAGCATCATGGGGCCAGCCGCAGGATGCCCCCTCTGTGCCAGGATGCCCAGCAGTGTTTGGCCCCCTACTAGAGCCCCAGGAAGCAAGAAGAGGCACCCTTCTTTCTCAGTAACACAGGGCTCGGAAGAGTTACTAATGATATTCCCTTATGGTCCCTTTGTAAATAAACTCTAATATACCCCCAAAAGCCTTTTGTAATTCTTCAGGCCCTATATTAGTCAGACTCCCGTCTTCCAAAGGGCTTGACAGCAGGGGACAAGGGTCGGTGGCCCTTGTACGCAGCTCACAGTTTTTTTCCTCAGTGCTGTGGCTGCGCAGAGGGCGTGTTTCACCCACATGTCGTGCGGATCAAAATGTATTTGTTAGACCCCCAAGGTTAGATCAACTCCCATAATATGTTGAGGCATCAAGCTCGAAGCTTACAGGCCTTTCGGTGCCCTAGGGTCGGTTGAAGCGCGAAGGGTCTGCGGGTTGAGGGCAGGCGTTGCGGGTGCTTCTAGAGCCCAAGGTGTGTTCCGAAGCCTCGGCCAATAAGGAATCAGCAAGAGAAGTGCGAATCAACACCGATGATGGGGTGCGGGCGCCAAGGGTCCCGGATGTGAAGAGAACAAAAGTTTAGGGTTCAGGCATCCCTAAGCAACAACGCCCTCTGCAACTTCATCACCCTGCCTTTGTGGATCAAGCAGCCCGGCCCGAAGCAGCAAAAAGGCATGGACCTAAAATGTAAGTTTGGCAGCCAGGGGCTTCCCGCCTGGAGGCCTTTGACTTGTATGCTCTTCACAAGAGGATTTCGGCGCCTTTCATTCCCCTTCGACCCCCCCATGGCGCCCGTGTCAGCCACGCAGTCGGCGGAGACGCTGATACTCAGCCTCAAGCTGTATAGGCCCTCAACCCCTAAATCCTTCCTGGCGGTCCAAACCCTCAGCCGAGTGCAGGGTTTTAAGAAGCTGGCTTTGGGGGTTTAGGGACTTTTCGAATCTACGACGCTTAAGGCGTATAGTGTGAATCATGCAAGTCTAGCAGACCGCTCGCCGCAATGCGTCGTGACAGGCTTTTAACCGGCAAGCGGGCGTTTCAACCCAATAAGGGTCGTGCTGCATGTGCAGCGGGGAGGAGGAGGAGGAGGCGGAGGAGGAGGAGGAGGCGGCGGCGGAGGGGAGGAGGAGGGGGAGGAGGAGGAGGAGGCGGCCTCTTGCAAGTCCGAACCCCTCCCCCCAAAATCTGTACGTGCACCTTATGACTTTCTGTTTTCCATTGGCCACCCCGAGTTACTATTCCAGCCAACGCACACGAGTCTAAGGAACGCAGCGGGCGCAGCGGGCGCGCAGGGGGCTCAGCTCTGAAGGGCGCGGGACTCGCTTTGTGGCGGCCGAGCAGATTCAAGCAGCTCCTGAGGCAAAAAGACTTCACTTGTGCTTTCCGGCACATGCAAACAGGTGCTTCAATCTTCTTGCACTTGCATGCCTGGAAGAAGAGGAAGCTACAAGAGGAGCACCCTTAAACTTGAGTGCTGTAGCCATTTAGGCTCCGGTTTTGGCTCAGCGCCGCAAGCAGCGAAATAGACGCAGCTTGGTCCCGTGCGCCTCTGAACATGGTCATGGACATGGCATCAGCAGAAACTCTTTGGGGAGCTGTGCTTGATCTAGCCCTTAGCCTTTCCTGTGCCGCTATTGCTGCACGCGTGCTGCTGGGACGTGTGGGGGAGCGTAGCAGGAGCCACGCTCGTCGCCAGCTTCTTTTCTGCTTGTACATGCTCTGCTTGGTTCTGATGCTCGCGGGCATGGGCCGTGCTGCCACAGCCTTGGCCCGCTGCACGGAGTACGGAGTGTCTACCGGTGCTGAGCTGCTCCCACTCGTGATGGCGTTGGCTGCCTCGTTGCTGAGTATCGCTGCTGCGTACCTTCTGGCACTGGCAGCTCCACAGCTGGTGCAGCAGGAGGAGCCGTCGGCCTCGAGCATTGGTGATCTCGAGAAAGGCAGCCCCTGTCCGGCCCTGTCGGTGGAGCCTCTGACCAAGGAGAGCTGGAAGTCAGAAGGGCCATCACAGGAACGCACGTCGAGAAGTGCATCGACTGGATGGGCGGACGACAAGCTCCGAGCCGCAGCAGGGGCTTTGCGGCTGAACTCGAAGCAGGCTGTGCTCCTGGTTGCGGCACTTTGCGAGCTGTCGAGGAACTGCGGCCACTGGTCCCGCAAGCCCGACGAGACCTGGGGGAGGTTCCTTCAGGCGCTCCACGAGATCGTCACTGAGTCGAAGGCCCGTCCCATGTTGCCCGCTGAGGCCTGGTATGAAGTCGCCAGATGGTATGGCACGCTTTCGGACGCGCGCCTGACTCAGGTGCTGCAAGCAGCGCTTGTCTTCCATGGCAGCCCGAAACCCAAGGAGGCGCTGAAGTTGGCCAACCTCCTCAGGGCAAAGTCGCCAAGTGCTCCGCAGCGATCCAGGGCGGAAGCTTCCAATTACAGTATGAAGCGAGGGATCAGTATTTGATCGCTCCATGGCCTAGGCACAGAAAAAGGGAAAGCGAGTCCAATGCAAGACTCGGCCTAGTAGTGGAAAGCCTCAGCAGCTGTGCTGAATTGGGGCGAACGTAACTTGGCAAAGCGAAGGTTGCTTTGACTTTAAAGCCATGGAGGTCCCGCAGTGCGTTATGCGCCTTCCTGGCCATTTTTGTGTCGAAGTGCATCACTCGAATGCACGTGCATGCCCGGTGGACCTTGAGTAGTTAGTTCACCAAGGCTTGGGAATCAGCAAGATGAATATAGGATAGGGAAGCAGCGAGATGAATATTATCTAGTAAACGCAGGTGAAGAACTGCTCTGCCATTATCCGCCGTATCGTCCACTTTTGAGAGTGTGTTCGCGTCAATGAGCAAGGTCTACGCTTGCAAGGTGGGCCAAATTCGTCCTTTGACCAAGGCCATACAGGCCATTTCAGAACCACTATGGCGCTTCTCTGCAGTGAACAACCGCAACCCGATTCAGGAGCTGCATCTTGACCCAGTCAGGGAGAGCGCGGCTTTATAATTGTGCAGTCTTTTGAAGCAGATCAGCACCTAGCTTGTCTATTGCTGCTGATCTGGTTCCCTTTCGATTTCTTGTAAAGTGCCCGTGCTGGGTTGCCTTACTTTTTTTCCGCGTGGGTCTCGAGCCCACGCAACATGCAGCCCGGCAGAAGAATGGCAGCTACAGCATCACGTTTCAATCGTCACGAAGCTTGCTGGCAGCGCTGCAGTTGCTCCCAGATAGATGGGTTTGGCAACACACTGCTCGGAGGTTCATGGTTGGGTGATACGGAGTGCAGTCGTAGTTGCTATCACTCTGTACGGCAGTTGGTAATTGTAGCTTCGCTTGTCGGAACCCCGCGCGCGCCACCTACAGGTGTTCAGAAGCGCTGCAAAGCAGCTCGCTGCGTGCAGATTCTTGCAAAAGCTCTAGTCTTCGTGCACCCCGCACGGATGCCTTTCCTTCTTCGGAACCTGGTACCAAGAGCCTCGCCGGCTGGTGCCAACGTGAGTCGAAACTTGAGCACCCAGGCGCACGCCTCGCAGCGATCCCTGGCGCGGTCGCTCAGGCCCCATTGAGAGTTTGGGGCCGAGCGGTCCAGGGTTCGGGGTTTAGGCCTTTGGGTCGGTAGGGTTTAGGGTTTAGGGTTTAGGGTTTAGGGTTTAGGGTTTAGGGTTTAGGGTTTAGGGTTTAGGGTTTAGGGCTTAGGGCTTAGGGTTTAGGGTTTAGGGTTTAGGGTTTAGTGTAGCCGCACATCATAGCAAAGGTTGGCCTTTGTTCGTTTAGGAAACTGGACAAAGGAGGAGAGGGTTTGAGCGCTTCTCAAGGTCTGTCCTTTCTTTGTCCCGGGTGAAGCCGCGACACACAAGCAGATTTCTGATTCCTGAGCTCAGTTTCAAGTGCTATACCCGAAACCCTAAACCCGACACCCTAAACCCTAAACCCGAAACCCTAACCCACCTACAGCCTCCACGGTGGTCCGGCCGCACCTCTCATCAAGCCTCCGCCTGGATGACGGCAGGGGGCCCCGGAAGCTTGTGAGGGGTTCAGGAGGTTTAGGGTTTAGGGTTTAGGGTTTTAGGGTTTAGGGTTTTGGGGTTTTGGGGTTTTGGGGTTTTGGGGTTTTGGGGTTTGGGGAAAGGGGCTTAGAAGCACATGGAGGGGCGCCCGGGGAGAGGCGGTGGGGGAGGGAGAGCACAAGCAGGTGACCCCGAAACCTTACAGGGGAAAACGTCAGCACAGGGCCCGCATTAGGTTCAGATGGCTGATCCCTGGGGTTATAGGCAATTACAAGTATAGTTTCCGTGCTCATAAACTTCTAGTAGCTGAGTAGATAACCTTTAACGCTTTTGGAGCATGCTGCATGTGCTGCTGGTGCACTGGTGCATGTAGCTTGGGTCTGCTTGGGTTTGTCACGTGGGACGCTTGGAAGGCATGAGATGCTTGGGACCCTAAAAACCCTAAACCCTAAACCCTAAACCCTAAACCCTAAACCCTAAACCCTAAACTAACTTGTCCGAGTGTGAGCGATTAAACCCTAAACCCTAAATCCCAAACCCTGAACCGAGAGGTCAGCTAGGCGGGTGGCAAAACCCTACAAACCCTGCAACCAAATGCCTCCAAGCATTGTCACCGCCAAGGCAGCGGCAGAGGCCTCTCCAGCTCTTGGGTTCTTAGGGTTTAGGGTTTAGGGTTTAGGGTTTAGGGTTTAGGGTTTAGGGTTAGGGTTTAGGGTTTCAGGGTTCGGGGTTGAGGGTTTAGGGTTTTGGGCTGGCGGAAAAGCCCAGACTGAACGGGTGTTTGGGGGTTCACAGCAATTATGAGCAAGAGTTGCCCAAGCAGGAGTTTGGAGTCTGGGGCTGCC